CTGGACCCAGCAATCAAATTCCACATAAACTTCAGCATCATGGGGGAGGCAACCAACACCTATCAATTTCACACAGGGTACTATGCACTACTATTGTCAAGGCTGTAGGGTAGGTACTGTTTTTTGTCAACAATAGTTTGGCAACAAGGAATGACACAAACAATCAAAAGTTGACGAAAGAAGAAGACGACAACGAAAAGCCTAACGAAATAACTAAACAGCAGAGATTGCTACACCATATCATACGCTAGAAACGGATAAAACGGCTAAAACCATCTCACCACCAGCTCTACAACAGCACCAGGGCGAAATGGGGAAGGAAATGAACCAAAGGTGCCTAAAGATGTAGAAGACGGAATTGGAACACCAAACGTATCCGAAGGAAGCGGAGCTGAAAAATCCAAGGGGGTGGACACGGAGGTCCAAACTATGAGCACCGAACAAGGGGGAAGTGCCCCAAATTTGCGTAACGAAGGACAAGGGGAGAAAACAACCTAAAAAGAAAGGGGAACGAGTACGACGCTTACGTCTCGTATCATACTCTAGTCAAGAATCAGAAGATGGGACAGGATCAAGGAAAAGTACCAGGAAACGGACGGCGGTATCCAAATTCGGCGGGGTTATGATAGACAGTATATTGAAAGCGAGAACAACCAAAGGAGAGGAAGACAGAGAGCGGGACACTAATTAAGCAGGAAGACACACTTGAAAGAGGGAGTGAAAAAGGAAACTAAAGAAAACTTGTTAAACTAAAACTTATGCCCAGGGAGAGGGCGGACTACTGCTGGTCCAAAACTCAAACATTTTCCGTTGGATAATTTTTAAAACATTTGTTTGAAAAATGATTGTTGAGGGAATGTCATATATAGTATTCCTAGTATCTAACCATATATTACGTGTTGGCGCCATTGGTTTAGCTATGTGTTTGGTGCGGCTATCAATTAATTAATACCTGCCAACCTTAAGTTTAGTCTGCGATGTTTTGAGTCATTGTTGTTAACCATTTAAGAATAAACGAGTCGGTCTTAATTCAGTGAATTAAAGATATTGAACCTGCACTTTTCACATGGCGCAGCAAGCAGGACAAAGCGCAGGATCAGGGAAAAATCCACTGGGGATTACGGCATTTTGGCCGAGTAAATGTACGGAAGCACCAATGTTGTGGGAGCATTGGATTACACGATTTACCTGGGGTGTAATAGCAAAACATTCATTCAATCCGACGGCATTTTATTTTGATGGGACGCTAACCGCGGCGCAAATTACAGATCTGCCAGAGGAGGTGAATGGGAAAAATCGAGTGGAAGCAGAGCAGATACTAATTTCTAACCTCTACTTGTGTTTGGGGGAACGTGGACAGGACGAATTACATAACCGGAAACCCCATTTGGACCTGGCGACTACCCGATATCCACGGGTTTTGGATGAATTTGAGAGTGTCTTCCGGAAGGAAAGAAACGAAACATTCGAGACGTATCAGCTACTATCTCGGAAACAACGTGACGGGGAAACGCTAGAAGAATTTCACTCCGTTTTGAGTGGACTGGCCGCTAGATGCTCATTGGGAGCATTAGAACGACGGGTGTTACGTGACGTATTCATAGTAAATATGTCCAACAAAGAAGCCCAAACGGAGCTATGCCGTTCAACTAAGACACCAGATGAGGTCTACCGGATTGCTTTGTCATATGAACGGGGAGACAAATACGGAAAGTCGTATAAAGTATCCGGTGGGGGACTTACCGCGGCACCAGCGGGCTCACTACAAATTAAAGCGGAGCCCATAAGCGCAATCAGAGGAGGGTACCGCCGACCATTCCAAAGAGGCGGACGTGGATTTGGCAGGGGCGGCACAAGGGGCCGCGGAGGAGCAGCAGATCGCAAGTGCTACAATTGCGACCAGAGTGGTTTTACCCCGGACCACATTCCAAAGTGCCCAGCAAGAAATGTAACCTGCAACTTTTGCAAGAAAACTGGACATAATGAGCGAACTTGTAGAGGACGTCGATCGGCGAATAGGGGTCGCGTAGGCATGATAAATGAGGATGACACCAATGGCGGGATTGCAGAAGAATATCCGGAGGAGAGTGCATCCAATTACGGAAGTTCCGTCGGATGGGTGACTGATTCAAAGGCACCGGCACATGGATGGGATTCGGATAGCTCGACGGAGTATGTAGTTATGTCAATTCGGCGGAAGGAGGAAACAGAATTAAAAGTCGCGGGGGCCAAGCTAGCCTTAAGAATCAACGGCAAAGCAACCCAAGCCTGGATTGAGAGTGGGTCGCCAATATCCATCTTCACTATTGGGGAACTAAAACGTACCCTGGGGACAGTCAACGTACAATTGAAACCGCTGAATCCACAGGACGACCAATTCCGCGACTACGGAAACAATCCGTTAAAATTTCTGGGGAAGATGCAAGTCACGCTTCATTCCAATGGATGGACTTGTTCGTCGGATATCAACGTCATCGGAGGGTGCCGACCGTCTATTATTGGCAGGGATTTAATGCCCTCACTAGGACTGATGCTGGTACAAGCACCATCGACAGAAGGGGTGAAAAGCATACATTCCAAGGAAGGAACTGTGGCGACGGACAATGACTTGGATGAGTGGCAGACACATTTCTGTAAGCAATTTCAACATCTTTTTCGCAGGGTAGGGCGCATTCGAAATTATAAGGTGCAGGCAGAATTCTTCAAGAATCTAACTCCAATTCAACAAAAGGGTAGGCGAGTACCCATAACATTACAGGAAAAAGTCGATAAGGAGATTGAAAAACTGTTGGAACAAGGTCATATCCAAAAGTTGGAAGAATGTTCAGATAAATATTTTGTTTCACCTATTGTCATCACAGTGAAAAAGGACGGTTCTGTAAAACTTGCACTGGAATCTAGAGAACTGAACAAGCAAGTGCATAAGAATAAATACCAAATGCCCAATATTGAAGAACTAATGGACATTGTAGGGCAAACTATCAGCGAACGCAAACAGGGGGATGTTTTTTTTACAACGATGGACCTCACGTACGCATACGGTCAACTTCCTTTAAATGAAAATACTAGTAAACATTGCAATTTTTCGTTGGTGGGAGGCCGCTGTACCGGTACATATCGATTCAAAACAGGATTCTACGGATTGACAACCATGCCGGCGGAATTCCAACGGGTCATGGATGCCATTCTGGCTGAATTTCCGTGCGCGCATGCTTTCATTGATGATATATTAGTAATTTCAAAAGGTACCAAGATCGAACATATCGCCTTAGTGGAGAAGATTTTAACGAAATTAGATAAAGAAAATATGGCTTTGAAACTAGAAAAATGTCAATTTGCGAAAAATACTTGCGAGTGGTTAGGCCACCGGATTACGAAATCAGGGATTACACCAATGGTGCGAAAAACAGACCCAATTGACAAATTAACCATCCCGAAAACGCTCTCACAATTGAAATCGTTCATGGGGTCAATCCATAGCCTTCACAAATACTTACCGGCGTTAGCAGAAACTTCGGCGCCTCTACGTCCACTTCTAAGTAAGAAAAACGAATTCCTCTGGACAATTGACTGCCAAACAGCGTTCGAATCGCTTAAGAAACAAGTCGCGAACATTGTCGAACTTAAGCATTTCGATGTACATAAGGACATACGTATCGTGTGCGGCGCAAGCCATAACGGTTTGGGGGCGGTACTCGAACAACTAGGCGCCGAGGGTTGGCGACCAATATCATTTGCGTCCCGTTTTCTAAATGCGGCCGAAAAGAAATATTCGACAAATGAGCTAGAAATGCTGGCCGTAGTTTGGGGTTCCGAATATTTCAGAAATTATATTTTCGGGCGGAAATTTACTGTGGTGACAGATCATAAGGCTTTGGTATCTTTATTGAATGGGAACAATAAGAAAAACAAGACTATGTTCAGTCGGTTAACTCGTTGGATCGATAGAATTATTCCCTTTGATTTTGTCATTGAACACATGCCTGGGGCTAAAATTGGCCTGGCGGATTATCTATCAAGGCATCCGGTGGGGGAAGCAACGAAAGTTAGTCTTTATGATAACACTTTCACAGTTGCAAAATTGCAATCAATCACCAATTCACTCGGATATATTGATACCAATAAAGGGATCATTAAAGCATCAAAGAAATCAATTGTTTCAGCTAAAGATATACAATTTGGAAACGATAAAGTTAACATTCCACCGGAAGAGGGCGTCAAAACGCGTGACTGTCGGCCAACCAATCAAAAGCCAGTAAAACGAATAGCTGAGTGTAATGACCGGGAAAGCGCAAAAGTAGTAAAGTCAATCACCGAATGTAAACTACGTGAGTCTGATATTAATTCCACAGTAAACAGTAGTCCTCCATTTAACAAATCAAGTTATCGATCTAACAAAATACATATATCTACAATGACATCACTTAATTTGAAGAAACTAAATAAATTACTGTTGAAACATCCAGAAATAACAAGCGGCAGCAGCAGCGAGGTGGAAATAGTGGACGCACGATTGGAGGCGGAGACACATCACACTCGGGACATCCGATGCAACACGGTCATCTCCATTCCTTCGGCATTCGGAGGCGAACTCTTTCCGGCGGCATACCCAGCAGGAGGAAACGTCATTATGTCAGTAATCCCCCGGGACTGTAAGATCATCCGAAAAAGTAGTGCATTGCCGGAGCTATTCAACCTGAAACTAGTTGAAGCGAATTATAAAGGGGACCCCCAGATGCGCGCGATAGAAGAACTGGTGGAGAATAAGGACCCGGAACTGGAAAAGAAGGTCAGAGCAA